TACACTGCATGATGGTCACTTCTGTGGTACTCACGATTTCAGCCGTATCAATTGTCACCTATCATTGTAGCGGATTTATACATAACGGGAAAAATGTGGTGTGATGTTGCGGGACGGTGTTTATCCTACTGACTAATTTGTCACGGAGAACACATAATGTAGGACTATTTGAATCAAAGTGAAATAGTAGGATTATGGTTTAATTAAAATCACACTTACGTGCTGAAGAATGCCGTCTTTTTGGATGTGGTGTCGTGTAGATCTTGTGCTAAGCGACGTTCCTCCGAAACGTCGGTTAACACAAGATCTACACGGCGCCACATCCCAGAATACGGTATTCTTAATAGTTACCGTTGTGAAAACCTGAAATTTTACATTGTACATGTTATTCGTGAGAGATGACAACTTCATCCTCGACGTATCATTCAATAACATGTGGGCTGGAAAGGAAAACAGGTGAAAGGAGGTGAAGTCAAAAGCACGAAAGCTTGTATAACGAATGACGAGATGTCCTTCTGAGTTCTTAACGAGTGTTACACATATATCAAATATATTCCAGTGTGGATATTCGGTGTACCGGCTGAGGTTATTAGGCGGTGCCAGAATACAGGTCACAAACGCGCTTGCGTATATACAGAGTATTCACAAAGTAAGTTCGAGGCTTCACTGTGTTGTATTTTCGTAATCATGATACTTAAAAGTAAAAAAGTAAAGCTATCCCTGTAACAGGCCGTGAAGGCCCGTAGGGTTGTGAGACGTTGAGGGTCCCACATTATCTAGACCAGGCATGTCAAACTCAACTTGTACATAGGGCCACCTCAGCCCTATAAATAATAGTCCAGGGCCGCACTTCAAAATAGAAATATACATTAGATTTTGATACAAGGAAATTTAATTCTATTTATTATTTAGGAATAATTTCAATATAATTACCTAAAGTCACATATCTTACAGTTTTAAAAAGCAAGAGAATGCCATTTTTGACAAGTATCAAACAACTTTTCAATATGTAAAAAGAGAGATTACACAAGAAATTATGTTAGAAATAGCAAAACATTGAATTAATAACATCAAAATTACATCTGTCGAACTTCATAAACTGTTAACTTGGAAGACAAAACCAACAACTATATTGTTTCACTTTAATATCGTTAATAATATTATTCATGAGTGAATTAAATTACCAGTTCAATGTTTTCTTGTCTATTAAGTCGCATGTTTATTCAGTTTGTTATTAATTCAATGTAATCAGTCAGTGTGTTTCTCTTGAAATATTCGAATGGTGATGATTAATGAAAACTACATAAACAATAAAAATTGCTACGTAACCAAATGAACATTTATTAAAGTACTTACATTACTGGTTTGTACTTGAGAACTGGCATCTTTTCCGGGATACAAGAGAGTTAATGTCAGCTACTTGACTCTGTTAAGATGCTATTTTTAGGATGGAAGACAAATGTTCTGCTGTGCGTGGTTTTGGTTGCCTTCACAAGCGAAAATAACTGTTCACAGAGGTAGGTGGAACCAAACATGGCCAGTATTCTCGCAGCAAACTGGCAAATAAGAAAAAAATTGAGGGATACCAATTTCATTATATTTGTCTTTCAGTGTTGAATCACACTGCATTTCAATTAGTTCCTTTCGAATGTTACTATCTGCCTTCTGAATATCGAATGAGAATTGAGCCGTAAACAAAGAGAAATCGTTCTCGCACGATTTGAAATCTTTAAACCTATTTCCAAAGTCATTAATTAATTCCTTTATTTGGGAAACATGACTGGTAAAATCAGAATTACTGTGGGTCTTTTTGAAATCCTGGCAGGTAGGAAAATGAATTAAGTTGCCATTCTTCATCTGTCCTTCCCAAAGTTTGAGCTTTAATTTAAAAGCCTTAATACTGTCATACAATGAAACTACAAGCTGTCTTTTCCCTTGTATCTTTAAATTTAAGTCATTTAAATGCAAGGTAATGTCCCCATAAAGGCCAAATCCTGAACCCAATTATCGTCACAAAGTTTGTCGGGTGATTCGCCTTTCATTTCCAAAAAAATCTTAATTTCTTCTCGAAGAAGCCAAAAGCGCTTTAAAACACTGTAACACGAAAGCCAGCGAACTTCTGCAAAGTACGGTAGACGCAAATTCACATCCAATGTCACTAAGTAAAGAAGAAAACTGACGTTGATTCAGTCCCCGAGATCGAATAAAATTTACTACTTTCTTCACAAATTGCAACACATGATTCATTTTTATGATTTTTGAGCACAGAACTTCTTGGTAAATGATGCAGTGAATATGGTGAAGCTTACAACTAGGACAGACTTCTTTCTGCTTGGCCATTAAGTTAGCAACAAATCCGTTCTCTTACCCCGTCATAGAAGGAGCCCCATCCGTTGCTACACACACAAGTTTCGATAACGGAAGATTGTACTTTTCTAAGAGCCCATACACTTCGCTAAAGATATCCTCACCAGTTGTGTTTTTAAGAGAAATTATGTCTAGTAACTCCTCAGTTATAATTAAGTAAGTATCACAGTCCCGGATAAACACAACTAATTGTGCCACACCACTAACATCTGCACTTTCATCGACTGCAATAGAAAATGCCGTGAAACTTTTAACTTTTGCCACCACTGTTCACTTAAATTGGTCGCAATATCTTTCGGCAACAGTGTTTCGTGACAAGGAAACTTTTTTGAAAATTTGAACCTTATCGGGACATACGTACAACTTCTGCGGTTTTTACGAGACACTCTTTTACAAATTCACTTTCGCTAAAACATTTAGAATTCTTTGCTATAAGTTCTGCAATTACATAGCTTGCTTTAACAACGGCTTCATTGTCTCGTTTCAGTTTCGTAAACAAAAACTGTTGCTTGCCGAGANATTATAACCTTTATACGTTCATCACAATGTAACATCAGCACCTGTCGCTGTGTGAAAATGAGCCGAATGACAATGTACAAGAGACTACCGGACTAGTAGGAAGGTGTATCTTGTCTCAATGGTCATAAAAGTGAAAGTTTGCTAGCAGCCCATTAGACAATGGCTGGGGGTTGCAAGCTAGTTTTGAAGGTAGAAATCCCTTGCACTTGTCTGTCAGTTGCCACCCTCCTTGCATTCTTACTACGCCTCCAAAAGGGATTCTTGGAAATACTTGGGGTTGTGAGGCTGTGCGGATTTTAGTGCATTAACCTTCTGAAATAAAATAGTTTGTCCTTCACGAACTTTACAAACCGTTAGTTGGACAAACCCTTCTGCAATTCTCAGAATCACTTTTCCTGCAGCCTGCTAATTTATGTCTGCGTGAGACTTCTTGTCTTCTAGTCTGCTGGAAAATTGTCTTTACAAAAAATATTTATACTAAAATTTTAATATTGATTTTAATATCAGTTGGCTCTAAAAGTTGAGGGGCCGCCCTTTGTGGCTATGGGGGCCGCATGTTTGATACGGCTGATCTAGACAATCGGCTCAAAGATGGCGGTAAGTTTGTCAGCCGTACGCGGCGGCCGTGCTTTACTCCCCAGGAAAATTATTCAGTTAATTCCTGGTACTCATTTCTGTTAGAGGCTGAGTCGACCCCATGGCCATAGTGCGGCTGGAAGGATTAGGTCAATTGAAAAGAATCCAATGACCTCATCGGGACTTGAACCCGCGACCTTTCGGATTGTAGCATAGTGCCTCAACCAATGGTACTTAACAAATCAAAATCTGATTCAGGAGGAAATTAAGAGGAGGCTGAACTTGGGTAATGCTTGCTACCATTCAGTCCAGAAGCTTTTGTCTTCTCGTCTGCTGCCTAAAAACATAAAAATGAGAATATAAAAAGCTATAATTTTGCCTGTGGTTCTGTATGGGTGTGAAAGTTTGTCTCTGACATTAAGGTACTAACATAGACTGAGGTTTTTGAGAATATTCGGACTGAAGAGAGATGAAGACGTTTTCGTCAGCAAGTTGTGTATAAACGAAATTTCCGGCATAGCAAAATAAATGTTCTTTTGTTATAGTAACCTCTGAAGAAACGGAAAATTTCCGGTCCGAATTCCGTCTCGATATCTTCCGTGTCAGAAGAAGTGCGTTTATGGATCTCAGTGGTTGCAATCGGTTTCGCTTTTGTTTCGCGAACCGATGTGTCCTTAGTGGATATATTTTGTGGACAAATAAGGTAAAGTAGGGAACTGTGGTCTGTGCATGTGCGGCTTACCGTAAGCTGTGAAGTTCCTGTGCTTATTAAAGCACCACTTCATAAGGCATGTGCGGTACAATTTCAGGCGTTCTTAACTCGTGCTAGACGGCGGCGAGAGGCCAGTGTCAAGTCTCCCCGGGGATCAAACCCCTGTCGCCCAGCCCGTAACTATGGTAACAGAGCTCTTCCAGCTCTCAAATTTTCTATAGGAAGTCGGGCTTATCCACGAAGCGTAAATCTCCTTCATAACTGCGCTGTTAAAAACTTATTATTAACCCTTTTATAACTGTGTACCACTTGCTGTAACATTTGAGGAGCTCTGTATTTTGCAATGCGGTGCTTTATGGGATTTCTTACAATTCTTAGAATAAGCAGCAATTATTTTGCTGCATACAATTTGTCAGGTAGTCCTTTTAACAGAGATGCATTGTATTTTCTGTGAGATACGGACTTGATTTTTTAATATTAATCAGACAGCACCGTTGCTAGTCTACGTATTGGACGACAAGGGTTCGATTCCAGATGGGAAAAAGTATTTTTGTCTTCTCTTATCGTTTCCAGACGGGCTCTGAGGTCCACCCAGCCTCCTATCTAATTGGTGCCGAGGGATCTGTCGTTCAGGGTAAAGCAGCAGCGGCGTGAAGCTGACCACTGAGCTCATCTAGTGCCAAGGTCCACTTCCCCGTATGCCAACATGTCATAGTGCCTAATTACGTAGTTAGGTACAAGGAATCACATAATTGGGATGACTTTCGTGAATGAAACGGTTAAAAAAATTATGGACATCGGGTTAAAGGAAATAAAAATACGGATATAATTAAATATTTATTTATTGCATATTTTTTATGATAGCGTTACGCTGTTTGTCTTCCTTAGAAGTTCTCCTTCACATATTTGGCGAACACACGCACGCCCTCAAAGAACTGTGTGACTGTGGGTTCGATTAGTGACGCCGGCAGCTGGAACCCGTATCGCGTGTTGGTCAGCTCCACTGTGTACGAAAGTTCGATTCCTAGAACTCCTTTCATGTAGTCATCACTCCCGCCAGCAGCAGCATCTGTGGGCAACAAATGTAATCACTCACTACGGGGTCCTGTGCCGCTGCTCAAGGCCTGTAGAACGTAGAATAAACTAAGTCTGTTTAGGGAACGAGGGTACATCATTGTCATTTAGTGATGTAAGCCATTACATTTGAAAGTTACTGGATTCCATTTTCAACATACTTCCGGTTTTCATACGCCGATTGTAAATTCAAACATACTGTGACGTATAGACCCTATGCTAGGGAAATACCTTGAAACAAACAACAGCCGCTGCAATGTAACGGCGCGGTAAACATGTCTCTACAACAATAGAGTTACTGTTGGAAACGGTGTTATGCAACCCGTTGCTAGGCAGCTGAAACGGGAGTGTTTTCTATGTGGTCCGTGCAGAGAAGTTATCTTGAAGACAATTTGGGGATCGCAGTTACTTGTTAGTTGACAGAGTTGTCATTTGTTTAGCTGAAAGTTAGCCTATGAAGAGAAGACTAGGAGGTTGGTTTGAAATGGCCGCCAGCCTGGCAGTTATTAGTTTAAATTTGAGTTCTGCTCGGGAGGCTGTGAAAATAGGACCTGAGAGCGCCAAGCTGAAGAATCTCTTCTGTTAGAAGCCATTACTGGCAAACGGCTGGAGAAAGGTACAGCAGATTGGAAAAGGCTTAGCGGGTGCTGTGGCGATTTTAAAGTGTTGAGATTAGCGATCGCGCTGTGATTATTTCCGAGTGTTGTGTATAAGGAGTCATATATCCATTCACGAATCTATAGTCCGTCTATAGTCACACACATAAATCATGGTAACACTTACGCGGAAGTTTTCTTCAGTAATGTTGCCTACACAAGGTATGATGTATCCTCGTTCGTAAAGTGGATGTCGCGGTAGGGTTGCAGCACTGCTGCCTCTTATTCCGACTCAAAATCCTTTACATTTATTTTCCATACTACCTCCATCAAACAGGCCACGACTGTTTCCTTGTAGATCCTCTATGATCAATTATTTTCTAATTCTTCATTTCGATACCGAGTTATTGAAAGCGGCAGTAAATAAACTAATTATTTGTACAGTGATATGTTTAACTTGCACGTTAAGCCATGCTACAGATTAGGCGGCTAATCGTTCCTTATCGTGAAGGTCTGGTTTCAGTCCCATGGACGGCCTCCTTTGTATAATGTTATGTGTATATCCAAGTGATGATGGTTATTTAACTATGGAAACACACAACTCTTTTATTGACGGTCACAACACAACAAACAGAAAAATCAAGGTTAGCGCCCAGCTATGGTTTCGCTACATGTTTCAGCCACTAACGGCCATCATCAGGCAGACACATATTAACAAACATATACCATTGAACTGCAGTACATTAGACTGGATACAATGTTATTAATCTTTTAAACTTAATTGATGTTATACAACATCGAATCAGTCGTTGGAATCATATACTAGTGGATACATATATATGAATGAATCTTGTATGCTGGTACATAACATTCACTTTTAAATATTAATAAAAATGAAGTATGCATTATTATAAGAAAAGGTTCTAGTATTTATATTTTCATGAGTCTAAAACACAGTGTACTGAACTGAAGAAGGGAGCAATCTCCACTGTCAAAGTACTTACATAATATATACAATAGTTTATTTTCTGTTTATGTCTACTTACACAGGACGTTTGTAGAGCTTCCTATTGTAAATGGGTTTCCACCAGCAGCCACCTGGGCAGCGTCTACCTCCTCAGCTAGTGCATGCTGTGTGCAGAAATTAAATAAGTGTAAACAGTACTTTGTTTTGTTACCCTTCTTAGAAGTGTACAACAGTACTT